GAGGACAGGCCATGCTCCTGCGCGGACAATGCCTTCCCCTCCCACAGCCTGACAAAGGACATGACTGGGAAAGAAGACAACTACCGTGGCCCGGCTGTGCGTGCCCTCTGCCAGATCACTGATGTGAGTCTGCTGCCCCTGCTGAGCTGTTCCTCTTTTTCCCTGCTTCTTGGGCAAGGCTCAGTCATGATCCTCTGTGCATGCATTAGGTTGTCCCACGTCTCCTGAGCAAAGCACTGAGCCAGGTGGTGTGGGGATGAGGGTAGGGTGCAGGAACACAAGAAACAGGTTTGCTTCCTTCCTTCTTGTCCCCACTCTTCCCCACCCATCACCTGCACTCCTGACGGTTGCCAAGGATTGATTGGGTCCCCTTCTGCCCCACTCATTGTCCCCACAGAGCACCATGCTACAGGCTATTGAGCGCTACATGAAACAGGCCATCGTGGACAAGGTGCCCAGTGTCTCCAGCTCTGCCCTGGTGTCTTCCTTGGTATGTAGCTGGGGACCCTGTGGCTGGGGCCTGGGCAGCAGATTGGGAAACTGAAGAAAATATCAGAGTTGCTTTTCAGTAGGAAAAAGAAAGTTTCTATATCCCTTCCCAGATCTGAGAGTCCCACCCACCTTCTCAGTGAAGAGTGCCTGGGGAACTCTTGACCCATCCCTTGGGGTGACAGATTGTGGGGAGTTTGGGCCTCGTGGGAGATCTGCCACCAGAGCAGAGAGTGAGGGTGGGAGCCGTCCTTGTGTGCTGTGTCAAGAGAACCAGGACAACGGAGAGGCTCTGGGCCATGTCTGAGGGAAGACCCAGAGCTGGACTGAACTGTGAGCCAGGGCCAGGAGGCATGATGGCAGGGCACCCTGTCTGCCCGCCTCTTAATGTGCTCTGTTGCCCTTAGCACCTACTGAAGTGCAGCTTTGACGTGGTCAAGCGCTGGGTGAATGAGGCCCAGGAGGCGGCGTCCAGTGATAACATCATGGTCCAGGTGAGGTGTGAGCAGAGCAATGATATTGATGATTCTTAGGCAAATGACCTGGGACTGGTGATTCAGAAATGGACGCTCACCCCGGAGATCCTGGTGTCCTCTAGCAGGAGCAGGCTTTCATCTTTTGTCACTGGATTGTGGGGAGACTTGGGGGTTTGGGGAAATGATCCAGGGTACCACTTGGGATGGTTTAAGTTACGAGCTCCTTACCGGCTGGAACTAAAATATTCAAGTGTCTGATAACCAGCTGAGTTGTATTTTGGGATATGGGATATAGCAAACTTGGCCCAGGCAGCCAGAGAGCCTTTGCCGAGCTGGCTTTTTTAGTGATGCATGTAAATGTCTTGGTGGGGCTTTCAGCTACTTAACACTTTTTCAGTGACCTAGTCCAGAAATTCCTTTTATCTCTGTAAGACAAGTTTCCTTGTCTATAAAATGGGAATGAAAGTTTCTGCCTCACAAAGCCGTGAGGATAATATGAAAGAGCATCTAGAACATCTGACTTGTCAGGTGCATACCTGTAGGCGCCCCCTGTGTGTTTATCTCTTCTCTTTCTCCTCACCCCTTGTGCCGATTCTCCTCTCCAGGGCCAGCCGTGGCCCCTCAAGATTTTTCCCAGTGTCAGAGAAGGCTCTCCCATACAAGGCACCCACAGTCGCATGACTTAGCCCTTGAATGCCACCCTGGTAAAGAAACAAAAAAGAGCAGAGGGAACAGGAAATAACTCTGTGTACCTTATATCTCCAGAAGGGTAACCCCTTGACCTTGGGCCCTCCAGACCTAGCTTTGCCAGTACCAGCCATGTGTCCTTGGGCAACTCAGTGAGACTAAGAGTATCTACCTTCAGGGGTGGCGTAAGGTTTAATTCTACAAGGTCTTGTATGAGGTGTGCTGCATGGCACCTTATAACACCTGTCCATGCTCAGGGCCTGGCACCCACTTTCTCTTGTTGAAGGACACCTGGTCTTCCATTCTTTCATCACTGTGGTCTCTGTTGTCCCCTCCACATCTGTACTCATGATGCCTGTTGGGCCCTTGCTGAACTTGAGGGCAGGAGCTAGACTACACACAACACTCACGTGGTGTGGTGAGCATCGTCCCGGGGCCATCCGTACAGAGCATCTGGGGAAATTGTCACAGCCACTCTGCGAGGTAGCTACTGTGATGCCCATCTTAGACACGAGAAGGCTGAAGCCCAGAGAGATGCAGAGGCCTCTCTCGGGCCACACAGCTGGTAGACCTGGGCTTCACGCACCTGTACTCTGCCACGACCTCCCGCTCTCTAGTACCATGCTCTGGGGCTCCTGTACCACGTGCGGAAGAACGACCGCCTGGCTGTCAATAAGATGATCAGCAAGTTCACCCGGCATGGCCTCAAGTCTCCCTTTGCCTACTGCATGATGATCCGGGTGGCCAGCAAACAGCTGGAGGAAGAGGATGGCAGGTAACGAATGGCTCTTGTCCCCCTTGGCCAGATGGTGCCCTATTCCGCGCTGGGCCATCCCCAACTTCTTGCCACCCGTGTCCTTTTGTAGCCGTGACAGCCCTCTGTTCGACTTTATTGAGAGCTGCTTGCGCAACAAGCACGAGATGGTGGTGTACGAAGCCGCCTCGGCCATCGTCAACCTGCCAGGCTGCAGCGCCAAAGAGCTGGCCCCCGCTGTGTCAGGTTACACACCTCCTTCGCCCCGGCCCCACACTTCCGTGCCTGCTGGGAACTGGGCCCTGGGCTGGGGGGTTGGAGGAAACAAAGAAAGAAAGAAAGAAAATGCCCTCAGATAGGCCACGTTGGGGTGTTAAGAAGAGGAATTGGGACCTAGTAAGTACCCATTTGGTGCCAGGCACGCTGTGCCAGGGTCTCTCACACTCATCATGTTTGGGTACTTTGAGTTCCATCTTACCATTAAAGAGGCTGGGGCGCCACTAAGAGGCAGAGATGGGGTTCAGATCCATGCTACAGCCTGTTGGGCTGGCTAGTGAGGGCAAGAGGCCCTGGTGGAAGAAGCCAAAATTTATAAAACCAGGTTTTATAATGCTCGCTAGGGGCCAGGCTATCTCAGGCAAAGGAGAATGCAATTCAGAGGGGTCATTCAGAGCCTGGATACTGGAGCCCGATAGCCTGGGTTGGAGTCTTGGCTTCCCTAGAGCCAAAGCACACGGAGGGCTTTGCTGCCTGACATGCAACCATGTACGATAGGAACCAGGGCAGTTGTTTAAGGCAGGACTGAGGTAATTCTGCTGGTCTGCATGCATGCCCCAGAAGAGAGGAGTGGAGTTTTACTTTGGGTAAAAGACTCAGGCGTCAGGTGTGAGTAGTCCTGGATTTCAATCCTTGATCTGCCATTTACTGGTAGCTAACCTAGAGTTACTTGAGTTGTTTTACCCGTGTGCCTCAGTCTCTGTATCTGTTAAATGGGGATAATAATAATAGCTGCTTTGTGGGGTTGTGAGAAACCAATCAGACAAGGCACAGCAGCTCCTTAGCACAACATCTGGCACATAGCAGGTGCTCAGTAAGTAGCGGCCGTCATTCACGAGACCCACTGGGCTCTCATAAACGTATTAAAGCCTCTCTGCTCGTGAGCTCTTTTCCTTGGTTGGGGTGAGGGTGCCAGCAGGGATATGAGCTAAGCAGAGGGTTTGGGTCAGAACAGCTTCATAGCCCTCATGTACCCCCCATGGCCTGCCTGACCCTTCCCCGGAGGCCTGAGCTTTTCTAGCTGCCGAGCGGCGAGGGAGGCCTGACATGTGGCATGTATCTCCCCACAGTGCTCCAGCTTTTCTGCAGCTCGCCCAAGGCCGCTCTCCGCTATGCTGCTGTCCGTACCCTCAATAAGGTGAGAGTTTAGGGGTGGGCAGAATGAGCACTTTGCCTTTTGAGAGGGTCGGGAGGTGCTTGATCCAGCTGGAGGCGTGTCGTGGCCCCTGACCGGAGCTGCAGAAGGTGTAACACTGATCACAGTTGCTTTCTACAAGATGGCGAGATGAGCCCATCCACAGACCTCTGACCAGGCCAGAGTCATCCAGTGGAATGATGGAAGTCCCTTTGTATGTCTGTTCTGTCCTCCCAAAACAGGTGGCCATGAAGCATCCGTCAGCAGTGACAGCCTGCAATCTGGACCTAGAGAACCTGGTTACAGATTCAAATCGCAGCATCGCCACGTTGGCCATCACCACGCTCCTCAAGACTGGCAGCGAGAGCAGCATCGATCGCCTCATGAAGCAGATCTCGTCCTTCATGTCGGAGATCTCAGATGAGTTCAAGGTGCCCGGGCATGCCTGCAACACCTACTATTCCTGGAATGAGGAAGATGCTCTGTGCCTGTTCCCTCACATTCCCCAGCCCCCAGGCCAGGATTGACCTGGGCCTGGTAGGGCTTGAGGACTCAGTGGAAGAGGTGGCACATCGCTCTTCACGGGTCTTGGCCTTGGGAGACGTGCACATCCAGCCTTGGGGTCTTTGTCCATACGGTTCCTTCGTAAGGCCAGTGGCAGGGCATGGAGTGAGGGCTGAGAGCAAATGTTGTCAGAGATTTCTAGTTTTCTGGTATGGGCTGATGGTGGTGCTGTTGGTCAATTTGGGGAAGGAGGGAGAGTCAGGTCCTGGGTGAGGGAGGTAGGAAGGTAATGATGGTGATCGCGGACGTGTTGAGTTTGAGGTGCGGTGGGTACCAGGTGGAGTTGTCTGGTAGATATTCGCTAACACTGGGCTTGAGCTCAGACTACAGACAAAGGTTTGGGAGTGAGTGGCATGGAAGAAGTGGGTTAAAACCACGGGAGGAGGTAGGACTGCCAAAGACACCGTGTGCAAAGGGGAGAGGGCCCAGGCCAAAGTACCCAGGGAGGAGCCTGAACAGCCTATAGGTGGGATCGTGGGGGTGGAGGTAGGAAGAGAAGCAGAACAGGCAGGGTGGAGAGGGACCAGTGGACCTACCCTGAGGTCTGAGTAGAAAATCAGAGTTTAGGGGACCCAGAGGCTGGACCTGGGGCTATTGGGACTGATGTGCCTGCTACCCTACTTGGATGGGCTCAGGGATCACGTGCTCCCTGAGGGTAGAGATGGAGTTCCTCTCACCTCATTGCCCTCTGGGTCCAGGGCCTGGCTGGGCCTAAGGAAGGACTTGGTTGGCACTTAGTGAACTAAGTAACTCAAGCCTGGAGGCAGGGGCCGCTGCTCATACACGTCTGTTTGACTCAGGTGGTGGTGGTCCAGGCCATCAGTGCCTTATGTCAGAAGTATCCTCGAAAACACGCCGTGCTCATGAATTTCCTGTTCACCATGCTGCGGGAAGAGGTAAGAGCAGGCCTTTGGGGCATGCCAGGTCTCCTGGTGCAGGGAGTGACCTGGCTGTAAGCTCCATTCTCAGTTTGGAGCCAAGAGTCTCTTCTTGGAAGTTATGCATATCAACCCGTTGGCCAAGTGAATTTCTTGGTGCCTACAGACCTGACAATATAAACATGCACCAATTCCTAGTAATTATAGTAATAAGTAATGACTCACCACCCTGCCTTTAAAGTCACAGCAGATGCCCTGAGGCGATGCTTTGTGCTGGAGTCAGGAAAACCTGTGTTCTCTACTGGTGCCTAGTGTAGAAATTTTCTGGGCCATTCTGGGACCTCCAGCGTGGTTTCTTCTGCAATTGATGCTAATAATTTGACATTGGGTTCTATTTTTGTTTCTCACGTGTCTTAGTGATTCACTTACACTACCTTCCTTGAATGTCTCAACGAAACCAGGTAATTCAGAGGAGCAGAAGCAAAGGGTTTTTGGAGTAGATTTGGTCGCTACATATCTGGTTGCCCCTTCGCCCCAGCACAGAGTGGCCCTTGGACCAAGAAGCCCTTGCCTTGGGTGTCATTGGGTCTCCTGAGATTGGAGGAGGGCACTAATACTTAAGAAGCCTTCAGCTAATGGGTCCAGTACTTTGGAGATACTACACAGCATACACAGTCTTATCCTCATAACAGGTCTTGTCAACAGACATCAATTTCTCCCTGTAAAAATCAGGGATCTGAGGGGCATCTGGGTGGCTCAGTTAAGCCTCCAACTATTGATTTCTGCCCTGGTCATGATCCCAAGGTTTTGGGATCAAGCCCCGTGTCTGGCTCTCTCCCTGGCTCGCGCTCTTTTCCCTCTCTAAAATAAAATAAAATTCTTAACGAGACACAAAATGTTTCTATTTAACAGTCCACTGTTAGATCTGGAAGGGCCCCAGCGAGCATTCGGTCCAGGCCTTTTATTTTACACAAAAAATAAGGTAGAGCCCAGGTAGCCAGGTCCCTTACCTCCATGTTCTGTTTGGACTGCTGTCCTCCCTGGTCCTGGTTAGGTGTTGGGCCTCCCAGCTCATTTCTGGAGAGAGCAGCCTCCTCGCTCAGCTTGACCCCTCCCACTGCAGGGCGGCTTTGAGTACAAGCGGGCCATCGTGGACTGCATCATTAGCATCATTGAGGAAAACACAGAGAGCAAGGAGACCGGGCTGTCACACCTGTGCGAGTTCATCGAGGACTGCGAGTTCACCGTCCTGGCCACCCGCATCCTGCATCTCCTGGGCCAGGAGGGACCCAAGACCAACAACCCCTCCAAGTATATCCGCTTCATCTATAACCGCGTGGTCTTGGAGCATGAGGAGGTCCGGGCAGGTGGGTCTGAGCCAGGGCTGAACTGGGGCTCTTTGCTGCTTCTTGAGCAGATGACCTGTCAGAGGGACCTGAGCCTCAGTCCCCAGGCACTCTGTGTTCTAGCCTCACAAGCTCCGTGGTTTATAACATTGTGGGCAGGATCTTGGATGCTTGCGTGTCACCCAGTTCAGTGGTTCCTTAGCTCTGACTTGTATTGTTGGTTTTTGATTTTTGGTTTTTAACTTTCACTATATGTTGGTGTTTAACTTTTTCTCTCTTGCTTGCTTTTTTTTTTTTTTTAAGTGTTCAGGTATTTTTTCAATGGTTAGCTTTATTGAGGTATAATTCACACACTGTAAAATTTACTCTTTTGTGTGAGTATGCAATTCAGTGTGCATCCATCATATTCTTAACTTTAAATTTACTATTCTTCTCATGCCCCCACTGGACAGATTTTTCCTCTTTCAGCAATTAATATTCATTAAGTAATGGATCGTTTTCTCATTTATAAATACAAAGGCTAACTGAATTGAAGCCATTTGGATACAGAAGGTGAGAAGCCTGTGTGTGGCTAGCTTCTGTGGCCACGTCGTAGTCAGTGCTGAAATGGCTCCTGGAACCCAGGAATGGGACTGTCTTCTCCTTGAAACAGCTGAGGGAGTCGAGGCCCAAAGGAGGTCCACCCAGGGCCACTCATTGCACTGCAGGCAGTTGTGGGCCTCCAGGCTGAGAACTGCTTCACTCAGGACCTCTTCTGCCCAAAGATTCGTTCCAAGTACTGGAACTGTCGTGAGCCGTCAGGTGGGTTAAGTAAATTATATTTGCTTCATAAACACAGGCGCTGTGAGTGCTCTGGCCAAGTTTGGAGCCCAGAATGAAGAGATGTTACCCAGTATCTTGGTGTTGCTGAAGAGGTGAGTATAGGCCAGAGGTCCCTGATGGGTGACGGTGTTCCCTGGGGGAGAGGTTATACAACAATGGATTGTAGGGGGGAAAAATAGCGTTGTAAAGCATGGAAAAATATCATGCAAAAATCCCTCCACCTAGGTGTGCCTATTGTTGAGTTTTTTCTTCCTTTTTTTTTTTAATGCCTTTCTTTTTTAAAAAAATGGCTTTATTGATACACAGTTTGCGAGCCATACAGTTTACCCATTTAAAACGTATAAAGGGCACCTGGGTAGTTCAATCAGTTGAACATCCGACTCTTAATTTTGGCTCAGGTCATGATCATGGGACTGAGCTCCATGTCAGGCTGTGTGCCGAGCGTAGAGCCTGCTTAAAATTCTGCCTCTCCTTCTGCTCCTCTTCCCCACTCACACTCTTTCACTCTCTAAAATAAAAAAATAAAATTCTGGGGCAGTAGGTGGCTCTGTGGGTTAAGTGTCTGACTCTTGACTTTGGCTCAGATCATGATTTCACAGATCATGAGATTAATTAAGCCTGCGTCAGGCTCTGTGCTTGCCTTGCTTGGGATTCGATTCTCTCTTTCCGGCTCTCTCTGTCCCTCCCCCTACTTGTACTCTCCCTCTCAAAATAAATCAGTAAACATCAAAAAATAAATAAAACGTATAACAAGATGTTTCCTTTTTTTTTTTTTTAACGTT